AAGAAGGGTTTCGTAGAGGGATCGATTCGGCTCTTGCTTCAAGAAGCTCTTCCACTGAAAGGGTACTAGTTCTACGAGGACTGCAACTCTTTTTTTTGGGGCAAGAATGAACTGAGTTCACTGACCGCACTGAAAAAGAAGAAGGTGGATCAATCACTTGTGAATTAACCTTGATAGGAGACTGATGAATATTCACATATCTCGGCTTGTTTTGAAGATGTTTCAGTTCCGTACTGAAATTAGGGCAATGCATGATCTCATCAAAATTATGTGAAGGAGGAATAGTTCCAAGTACTGAATCAGCATTGCCACGTTGAATAGTTGTTATAGTCGTTTCAGTAAAATTTCCTTATCTTGCTTTCTTCTTCTTTCTTGTTCCCTATCCTCTATTTTTTCAGTTCTCATTGCACTAGTTGCTTCAGCCACCTCTCTTGTTCCCTCTTCAACTCTCTTGTTCTTCTAGACACTTACATCCCTGAAGTTGTAGCCCTCCCACTAACTCCAATATGTTCTTAGTGGATGAGTCATTCGATGTCGGGCTATACTCCTGTAGGAGTTATCTTTCATTTGTTCGAACCTGGAGATATATTCTCAATTCTTCAATTTTAGAATATAATCATATTCACTGGTCATATTTGAAAATTACTGCTGAAGAGTGACATTGAAACGCATTCTTAGGCCGGTGCTACGTTGGAAACGAAATTTTTCCCGACCAGAGGGTCTAAGCGGGTCTGGTCAGGTCTAAAGAAAACAAACACATGACGAAATGGTGCTTCCAATATCATCTTTCGAACTACGTAAACAATTTACTTTCACGGTGTTCTTCACTGATTTCATGAACCCATTCTCTTTCACGCGAGTTTAATGATAAATTCCTGTCCAGTAACCTGAAATCAATTAGTTTCTCGTCCATTTTTCACCCGTAATAGACTACTTTCCTCATCGAGAGTTGACACAGTACTGGTTCTCCAGCTCCTGACTGAAAACTAGCTGCAATGTAGGAGCGCCAAGTCTGGACTGGTCTGGTCTGACCGGGTCAGGTCTGGTGTCCGCCCACCGATTGCAGTTAAATAATAATAATAATTGCTTTAATTGACAAAATGCATTACAACATATAGTAGATATAAAAAAACGGGCTGTTCTTAAATGATATCCTACATTTTTGTCAAAAAGCAGAATTCAGGTTCTGATCTTGTCATTTGAGTAACGCAATCAGAACTTGCTCTTCCATTCAACCGTCTTCATAACAATAATTACAAATGAATTCTAATCATTAACCACTTATGCTATCACCTATTCTTATTTCGTTCAATTAACGACAATGAAAAAACAATAAAAAAATAGAAAAATGTTAACTAATAATTCGCCTACGAAACGATAATGAAAACTAGTAAAGAAACAGAAAAATGTTGGCTAATTATTTTACCTAGAAACAGAGATTTGCATGTATATACACATAGGCATTCATATACTCACATATATAAGTGGATCATTATTTACAGCTAGACAATAAATTTGGTAGAAGAAATTCATTTAAAAGTAAATCATCTTTCAGCATTTTTCTGAATTTTGCAAGCGACAGTGACTTCAATGAGTCAGGGAGTCGATTATACAGCCGAGATATATTATATGAAAAGGAGCATCGAAATAATGAAGTTTTATAGGATGGAGAGGCTAAGTGATGTTTCAATCTCAATTTCAGGTGATGAACATCGGTGCGGAAGCTGATCTTTCCATAAAGATAACTCGGTACTTTCGTAGAGATTATATTATGAAATGAAACGCAAGAGTGGAATATCCTTCGGCCTGAATGGCCAGCGTAAAGAGGCTTGTTTATTTCATCCAATAGATGAAAATGTTCGTGGTTATCATGCTTTTGATCACGCATCTATAATACTAATTATCATAATAATAAATCGGCTTTATTGATAATACAAAAAAAGCAATACAAAGATATATTTGAAAATGAAAATAGGTTACAGGAGATTCTGGTACTCCTTGGCGAAGTCTAGTTCAAAGCTACTCTAACTAAACCAACAAGCACCACTCCATAAAGCACGCAAACATACAAAAATAGAAGCAATTAACAGTGATGGTACCACGAAATGAGAACCGTAAATGAAATAATAATTTGTGATTACTTAATAAATATAGTTGATAAATAATTTAATTCAATTGATCTGTTGTCTAAAAAGCAAAAGTTGACATTACTGACTATCATAGATATAATTTTTATATTTGTATTTGATGTTGTGCCTCAGCACACTCATCGATTTTAAAGTGCATGTATTGTATGTCATGAGCATACGCCTGTATTTTATATTTCTTGAAGGACGAGATAATGTCAATAGTATTAATGATGAACAATAAAGGTCCCAAAATGGAACCCTGTGGTACTCCTGATAGAATATCAAGATGACCATCATCAACAACTTTTTGAGATCGACCAAGTAGATAAGACCAGATGAGAAATAATAATAATATCAAAACCATAATATTTGAGTTTAATGCAAATCAGCTCATGATTGATGGTATCGAATGCTTTCGAAAAATCTAGTAGTACCAGATTGCTGATCATCCCCTTATCAAATCCCTCAAAAATGTCTTGTGTAACAGTAGCAAGAGCTGTAGCCGTGCTAAAACCCTGCCTAAAACCACACTGCAATGGTGATAACAGATTATTGGTATTGAAATATTCATTAATTTGTAAATAAATAACTCTTTCAAAAATTTTACTCATGTTTGGAAGTATACTGATAATTCTGAGATCAGAATAACTAGCTGGATCATTATCCTTGGGAATGGGTTTCCCAATGGCAATTTTCCACAAGTCTGGAAAATATGAACGTTCAAAACAACAATTGATGATATGTGTACTATATTTATCTATAAACAGGCTACAAAGTTTCAACATTCTGATTGAAATATTATTAACCCCTGAAGCCTTACTTTTAATCATTCAGGATTTCATGAATAGCTTCTTCAGTAGCGAATCGAAATAAGAAGTTATTTTGCCTGATTAAATAATTATTGCTATAAAATTCAATATTTTCATCTGTAAAAAGTAGAGATTAAAAATAAATTAAAATTGTACAATTTATTATCAATATCATTTTCACTTAAAATTTCGAACCATGGCAACTGGTATAAATCTGATAAAAAAGTATGCAAAGTGAAATTGTCGAAACAGCGGGCTTTTTTGGGTTGCTTTGTTAGTTTAATTGATACAGTTTAGTGTTGTGGCTATTTTGCCAGTTTTCTGTCGACAAACTGTTAGTTTTTCTTGCTGTGTACCAAAAGTTGAGGGTCTGTTTTGAAGTCGGTAAGATCAACGTTAAAACAGATGTGCGCTGAAGAAAGAAACCGATTCGTTGGCCACTGGTGGGTATAATCGAACTGGTCTTTCAAATAATTTAACTACTATGTTACAATCAATGGACTTTTTCTGTCATTTCATCCAAAGACCGTGATTCACGTCTTTCTTTGTTGTTTCTAAGGGTAGCGATTTTTTTGTGCTTCTTTTTTAGAAAACTGTTTCGACAACTCTTCCTCTTCCCTGTTTATTTTTCGTTCTTGCTATATCATCTCTTTTTTTTTCTTTGATTTCCATTGCATTTAATAAACATCATAAACCAGAAAAATTTGTGTATGATATACTTCTTTTAGATATTTTGTTCTTTCCGTGGAATATACGAGTAATAAAAACTGAATATTGATGAAAATATGATTCTTATGAATCGGTAAAAATTGTTATTCGAAATATTCATGAACAACGTTGTTTTATAACTGCAGATTCCACACTGAATTCATTTAAGAGTTGAAGTATTGAACGTTGGATATGAGTAACGGAGATTTCGATCCATTTCATTTTCATTTTTGGTAAAAAAGTATATTTGGAGGAGAAAGAATGTTCATAATACATTTTTTCAACACAAAATCGATACCTTCAAATTCATTACCTGAACCGTTTTTCCACGAATTAAAATTAAATTAGTTGTGCCGCTTGGACTTCTTTAAAACACGTCTGTTATATACTAAAAATGTTCTTCTCTCACCGCTTCGGCAATAAGTTATTAGCGGATCGAAGCCGTTGGAATATTCTAAAGTGTTCACCATAACAATACCTCTTCTGAACAAGTGGAATACAATAACTACGAAACAAATGAGTGATCCTACTTATAACATCTTGATGAATTGAAAAATCCTGGGCGTGAGCTGTTAAAAAATAAGGTGAATGATCAAATTTCGCGGACTACGTATATTCGATTGGCGATTTTTTATTTTTTTATGTTGGTACACGCGTCTCGAACATATGTTAACAATTTCAGCTGTTTAGCATGTCTAGTTTGTTGACAGGAGGCATAAAAGTCAGAAGACTTGTTTGGCGACTTCCTGATATTGAAAAAATTAAACAGAGAATTTGCTTCAAATTTTGTGTGAAGAACGAAATGAAGTTCTCATATGGTTTTGTGGTCAATAAGGAATGATATCTTGAAGTTGTGTGTCGCTTGCGAGGAGGGATACGAAGAAGTCTTTTCCGTATTGTGAAAAAACAATTCATGGCTTTTGTATTTCAATAATGCACCTTTTTGGTAAAAAGACAACATTGTTATTATGTCTCAGCCACTCTATTTACCAGATTTCGATCCCTGCGACCTTTCTCTGTTCCCAAGATAGAATTAACCCATGAAAGAACGGCGGTGGAGATGAAAACAGAATTACTAAATGAGTTCAAGGACATACCAGAACGTGCTAATCAGAAGTGTTTCCAGGATTGGACACAAGTCTGAAGAGGGCTACTTTGAAGAGGAAATTGATGAATCAATGAATATTTTTTGAGAAAAATGAAAATTCACCTAATTTTTTTAACAGACAGGGTACATGGGTACTTACCTGGTTTTCTTTGTGATCCTGTTAGATACCCGATGGTGAAAGTTTCCGTATTAGTTTGTGAAACATAAGACGTGAAGAGGAAAAAAATATGTAGCATATTCGAGGGGAATATCTGAAATAGAAAACATGTGTTAGTGTTAACAGGAACAATTAATATATTATACAACATTATGGAAGTCTTTGAGCCTTTGAAGTTGTTGGCGAATAAGGAAATGCCCCATTTTAAGTTTCAAATACCAATGATCTGGCGGAATCCCTCAAACCATCACAATTGTTATTTTTGAGTGGCTGATATAAACAGGATTAATAAAATAAAACGGTCCAAATGGTTTTTCCCCAACGTGTTACCTATTACTACACTAAGCATGCACTCTAGCAATGCAATACACAAAATGATCACGACTCTTCTTCAAGTGATGAAAGTGGAACAACTGATTGTAAACTATTTGATATTCACATATTCCTTCTGAGCCCTTTTACCAGAAAGAGCTCAACGCATTGGTCAAGGATCTTGAATCTAAGAAAAGATTGGAGATTCTAGCTTCTCGATTGAAACAAAAATTTCGCAACTCAAGGAACAAGAATTTCATACCATCGGTACACAGAGATGATGAAGATGATGACTGTGTTCATTGTTCAGATATTCTTGGTTTATTAAAAGGAATTGGTATAGACAAATAGGACCCGAATAAATGACGCTTATTTATTGATACATCTAAACGTAGCCTGAAATATATGCTTATGCATAATGGTAATGCGCTGGGTTTGTTACCAATAGCACATTCACCTAAAGTCAAAGAAGAATGTGCTACTGTTACTTCTGAATATGGAAAAAGTCAAATACCTCGAATATAATTGGATAATATATGTGGATCTGATAATGGTATGTACAAGAAGGCTACACAAAATGGGTGGGAGCTAAGTCTCAGGACTGGGTGCTGGAAGACTGGCCTTCCAGGCAAGGTGTATATATAGAGGTCGCATGTCGTCATGTCTGAACCGCATACCTGCAAGTACAACAAGATGTCTATAAAAATATTCTTGCTTAATTAGTGTGTGGGAGCTAAGTCTTAGCACTGGTTTCTAAAAGACTGGCCTTCCAGGCATGGTATATATATAGAGGTCGCACATCTGCATGTGCAACAAAGACGCTATACAAAATATCCTTGTTGAATCAGTGTGTGAGAGCTAAGTCTCAGCACTGGGTTCTAAAAGACTGGCCTTCCAGGCAAGGTGTATATATAGAGGTCGCACATCTGCATGTGCAACAAAGACGCTATACAAAATATCCTTGTTGAATCAGTGTGTGAGAGCTAAGTCTCAGCACTGGGTTCTGAGAGACTGGCCTTTCAGGCAAGGTGTATAAATAGAGGCCGCATGTCTGCCTGTACAACGGGAAGGCTATACAAAATATTCTTGTTTGATTACTGTAAAGGAAAAGAGGAATGAACATTTCTATGTTTTTACCACTTTTATTTGTAATTAACGTTGATGCAGTTCCGTCCTATACGGACATTTTCAAACTGATGCAATAAAGTTGTATAAGTTTGAAAATGTTCATATAGTACGAAACCGCAGTAGCGATAGTATCAAATAAAAGTGTTAAAAAACATAGAAATTTTCATTTCTCATTTCATTATGATTTCCTACCACGTAGTAACGGCTACATACATTAATTTAGTGTAAAGGAGCTGAGTCTCAAAACTGGGTCTAAAAGACTGGCCTTCCAGGCAAGGTGTATATATAGAGGTCGCACATCTGCATGTGCAACAAAGACGCTATACAAAATATCCTTGTTGAATCAGTGTGTGAGAGCTAAGTCTCAGCACTGGGTTCTAAAAGACAGGACTTTCAGGCAAAGTGTATAAATAGAGGCCGCATGTCCGCATGTACGACAATAAGACTATACAAAATATCCTTGTTCAATCAGTGTGTGAGAGCTAAGTCTCAGCACTGGGTTCTGAGAGACTGGCCTTTCAGGCAAGGTGTATATATAGAGGCCGCATATCTGCATGTCTGAATTTCCGCATACCTGCATGTACAACAAGATGGCTATGAAAATATTCTTGCTTAATTAGTGCGTGGGAGCTGAGTCTCAGCACTAGTTTCTAAAAGACTGGCCTTCCAGGCATGGTATATATATATATAAATAGAGGCCGCATGTCTGCTCGAACAACGGGAAGGCTATCGAAAATATCCTTGTTTAATTACTGTGAAGGAAAAGATAAATGAACATTTCTATGTTTTTACCACTTTTATTTATGATTAACGTTAATGCAGTTCCGTCCTATACGGACATTTTCAAACTTATGCAATAATGTTGTATAAGTTTGAAAATGTCCATATAGTACGAAACTGCAGTAACGTTAGTTACAAATAAAAGTGGTAAAAAACATAGAAATTTTCATTTCTCTTTTCATTATATGATTTCCTACCATATAAATAGAGGCCGCATGTCTGCATGTACTACAAAAAGACTATACAAAATATCCTTGTTCAATCAGTGTGTGAGAGCTAAGTCTCAGCACTGGGTTCTAAAAGACTGGCCTTTCAGGCAAGGTGTATATATATATATATATAGGCCGCATGTATGCACGTGCAACAAGGACGCTACACAAAATGTTCTTGTTCAATTAGTGTGTGGGAGCTAAGTCCCAGCAATGGTTTCTAAAAGACTGGCTTCCTAGGCAAGGTGTATATATAGAGGCCACAAGTCTGCATGTGCAACAAGGACGCTATACAAAATATTTTCGTTCAATCAGTGTGTGAGAGCTGAGTCTCAGCACTGGGTTCTAAAAGACTGGAATTTCAGGCGAAGTGTATAAAAAGAGGCCGCATGTCTGCATGTACTACAAAAAGACTATACAAAATATCCTTGTTCAATCAGTGTGTGAGAGCTAAGTCTCAGCAATGGGTTCTGAAGGACTGGCCTTCTAGGCAAGGTATATATATAGAAGTCGCATGTCGGCATGCCTGCATGTGCAACAAAAAGGCTATACAAAATATCCTCATTCAATTACTGTATCGAAAATAAGTCTCAGCACTGGGGTTTGAAAAGACTGACCTTCCAGGCAAAGTGTATATATGAAGGCCGTTTATATTAACTGATTCCACTATTGCTACCTCGGGCACGGTGAGACTTACAAGGCGAGTTGAACTGGAAAATAGTTTCCTAGTTTGTGATAATAGAAAAAAGTCTTTTCGGATCGAGAATTTCAAGGTTTCCTTCAGTGGACTTGATGTTGTTTGCAGTTTTTCCAGGTGAACTATAAAAACTTGTTTATTGTCAACCACCTTCAAACAAAACTTGTGTTTCATCGACGTTCGGGCGTTGGTTGATAGTTTACCGAGCCAGTGCACCACATTGCGAATAGTTCTCTTGTTAAGACGATTATGGCGACCTGAAATCAACACCCATTTAGATGAAACAATTTTACTATTTGCACGTGTTGTTGAATGCCATATCCGTTCATGGTGATTTGCCACTCAGGAATGAGAATTTAAGCTTGAAATATTTCCATCTCCATTCTCTTATTCAATCTCTTGTGAAAGTTATAAAAGGGTCGAAAAAGGAAGTTCCAAGGAAGAGGTTTTTGAGTGCAAATTGAAGCATCTGGCGTGTCTGGATAAAATAACGTTCCATTGAACCGGGCATCATCCGGCAAAATTGTATTTTTATCTACATATATGTCGAACAAACCATCTGTGACAAATATTCAGGTTATACGGCTCTGGAATATTAATTCGGATGATGAAATTTCATTATATTTTCCCGTATTTCTGTTACCCGCTTCTTGTAATAAATGCCCTCTCTCATATGAATACCAAGTTTCCCCAGTAATTAAAACTATGAAATATAACAAACAATCACTGGTTTTCATGAGTTGAATATATCGACATAATAATATTTTCCAGTTGGTGTTGCTTATTATAAATTATATAGAACGTGGTATTCAAGAATTGAATCGGGATAATATTTATTCAATTTGATCATCCAAAAGTGGCATATACCAACTTAGTTCGAATCTTCTATAATCACACCACAGACCAGACCCCGTATAGAGAGTGGTATGTAGGTTTTCAAATTGACATATACGGAGAGGAAGTGCAGCTCGTAGATGGGAGC